TTTTGCCATCATGGCAGAAGTTCTAGGGCCAAATGCCCAAGGCAAGCACTAGAGTTTTAAGGAGTGGTTGGAACAGTGTTCTTAGCCTAAACTTCCAACATTCTGTACAGAGCTTAGCAAACATTAAGAGCCCTTTCTACACACACACACACACACAAACACACACACATAGAAAAGTTGTTTAGAATGCCTGGCTACAAACAGTATTGGCAGAGCACATGCTTAAAAAGCAAAAGACAAACGCAAAACTCTCGAACACACTTAGCACCTAATATTTCCATAAACCCTAGGGGTTCCCTACACAGAACCTTCAAACAAAAAGCCAACTGTCTGTGAAGTGTGCCATCCCCAGAGCATGTTATCTATCCCAAATGTAAGTTAAAGAACGGTGTCTGTTAAAATAAGGCTCAGCTTTAAGCACCTGACTACACTTGAATCATCAAAAGCTAAAGCATTCCAAATCGGTAAAACGAAGTGCAGCTGGATCTCACTATGCTTGTTTGCTGGGATTCTTTGGAGATTTCAAGGGTAATGATTTTAAAGATGTCTAAAGTGTTTATTCTCAGCTCCAATGCTTGCTTTGAAAGCCCAATGTGGAATCAAGTCCATTGCCCACTGTGAAGGGATTAAGGGGTGATATCGTTACCATGGTTCTCACTCCTACTCTTGGATATGAAGACCAGAGTAACACACCACACTCCTGGGGTTGCACAATAAAGCCCTGTGGCCAGTTCGTTTGACCGGCTCAAGGATGCACTCACTACTTTGGCATCACAGAGTTGAGGACAAGCCTTCCTGGACCAGTGGTTCATAGGTGTGGTTCCAGTATCCCAGTCTGTATCTTGACCTAAGGTCTCAATTTCTAGTCTTAAACTGCAGACTCTTTAGGTTGGCAGTATAAAGCACCCCAATCAAAGGGTGATGTACTCAGGGCACAGATCAGCTTGGAACACCCCTGTGATGGCAAGTTTCAGGACTGAAGGAGCTCTGGTTCACAATTCACCTAACTTCCCTTTGCTAGGTTGAATACAGAAGCCTCCTGGGATCATCGGATGTGAAGGAAATGTGGGTCGTCCCAGGTGTTTTTCTTTTGTTGTTTGTTTAAAAGCTTGCAGATTTTTCTTCTCTCTGAGACAGTCTCATATAGTTCAGGGTGGGATCAAACCCCATACGTAGCCAAGGATAACCTTCCTCTTGCCTTTTCTTCCCCAAGTATTAGGACTATAGATGGATACCACCATCCTTGGTGTGTGTGGTACTGGAAATCCAATCAAGGGTTTACTCTTGCTAGGCAAGCACACTACCAACTGGGCTGCATCCCAGTTCCTTTACACAGAGTCAATCTTTCAAGCTCTTCCTCGTTCCTGTCAACCGTGAGAGTAGAGTACAATGTTATGTTACTATGGCATCATGTTACTGCTTAAATGAATTGAAAACATTTCCCAAACTTCCTCCGGAGAAATGGGTACCAGAAAACTACTGTTTTGGGCTGGTTTTCTTTTAAATGTAATGTGTAAGGGCATTCTGCTTAATGTGTATCTGTGCAAGTATGCAGCTGGTACCCATGGAAGCCAGGAGAGGGCATTGGATACCTTGGGACTGGAGTTACAAGTGGCTGAGAGCCACCAGGTGGGTGTTGAAATCAAACTTGGGTCCTCTTGAGAACAGCAAGTGCTCTTAACTGTTAAGCCATCTCTCCAGCCCCAAGGTTTATTTTTCCAAAACTCAAACTTTTGGCCTGTCTTTTCTACAGACTCCTCTTTGTTCTTAGGGCTTTTTTGTTTGACAAAGTTTTAGTCCGCTGTAAGGTCACCATCTTTCACATCTACTGCATTAAGCATTTGGTCCTCATTTGTCCCATTAAATAAGAACTGACCAGATGGATAGCCTTCCACTTTCCCTCCTGAGCAGGTTTTGAGCAATTAAATATGATTATTTTTACTACATATTTTATGTATCAGCCAGATGTTATCTGTGGTCATTTCTGGGAAAGATCGCTCTGTGGAGGCTATAAAACACTTCTTTTCCTTTGGGAGACAGAACTCCTGAGTATGACCAAGAAAGCACATGAAATTGATTTACTCTTGTATGCTTGTTCCAGTGACAAACTAGGCCAAATACCTCAGCATCTGTGAAGGCAAAGATCGATTCAAAATTTCCTTCTTCCTATCTTTGCACTCCACTTACATTATTGTGTCAGAAACAGAAAACAAATAAAACCCGTCTGTGTGGATATCAGCTTCCCACTGTTCTCTGCTGTTTCTCAAGGAACTGATTTGGCTTCTGGAAGCTGTCTGTTCGCAACATGGGGAAGTGTTGGCTCACTCAAGACCTTGCGTACAATGACGTACCAAATGGACACACTTCCAGATATCCTTGACAGTTTCTGTACAGCTCTTTCTGTTTTCTTATGCAAGCTAATCCATCTGCATTTCTCATTAGTGTCGAAATGATCCATAATCAAGCAAAGAATTCGTAATTAGAAAACCACTCTGTGATTACACAAGTCATTTTCTCCCCATGCGTATACAAATTAGAGTGCAAATAATTTTTCTTAAAACAAATATAATCTCTTAAAAACTTGTACAACTACGGGTCATCCAGAATTATGGCATTATGATCAACAGAAAGACTCAACCACGTTATCAAATGACTAGGCAGAGGTGGCCTCTAACACACTAAGTCAGACTCAGGTTACCACACAATCAGGATTTTGAATGTAGGGTGAATCAACAGGCAAGAACATTTCAGTTTGAAAAACCTCACCATGTCCCGTCAAATACTTCAAGATGTGCTGATGTGGATTCTGGCTTTGGCTCCGACTGTTTTGTTCTTAGGATGGTGTGTAGCCCATACTGTATGGCCCACACTGACCTGGAATGCTCCATGTAGTCTCCACGTAGACCAGGATGGCCCCGAAGTCACTGAGACGTGCCTCCTAAGTCCCCTTAAGCCACCATTTCATACGAGTGCTGTATGAGTCACGTTTAGGCCTGTAGTGATTAACTGCAACACTGTGGCCATTTTGGAGGGAAGAAAGGGCTTGTCCCTATTAAACTGAACCTTTTCACACAGAACATGACATTCATGCCCGGACTGTGTGAACCATCTCTCTCCAGTACTCAGAAGTACACAGATCTCCTCATAGTAAACACGGTCGTCTTAGAAATGACCTGTTCCTGTGCTTAATAGAAACCGCCATCAGCTAGGACCCATTAATGACATCTGGGCAACATGTAGGTAAACTGTCAGGTAAGAAGGGCCAAGCATCCCTCATGAAGGATCCAGTCCTTAGGACGAACTGTCCCTCAAAATATAACATTACTTACCTTTGGGCCAGACCATACTCAACAGCATCTAATAGGGCTGAGAGACCCACCAGTCTTAATTTCCTGCATGCATCATAACTGTCCACAGGGGTCAATTCCAGTGGATGCCTCATATAAATTAAAATTGAAGATAATGACGCTTGTTCACTTGAGCCACTAAAATGACCAGCTGGGTTTAATGGGAGGAAAACAGAAACCCCACTGAAATTAGAATAGCTTCGAAGGTGATGGGTGTAATTATTTTTCGTAATGATTCTTCTCCAAAGGTGACTGGCCACTGTGCTGGCGAGCACCAGGGCTGGAACATTACGAAGTTGGATAAGGCACTGAGAGCTAAGGCACAACCCAGCCGTCAGCACTCCGGTGCTGGGGAAAAGCAGGGCTTCTTTCCGGTTCTTGTTTTAGCTGTTTCCTTTAGTTAGTGAGGTGCTTTGAGGGAATTGCTTAATTGACTCCCGAGAGGCAAATTCTAATTTAGATCGGTACAAAGCGCTTTCTCTTTCTAGCCATAAAACATGTTCTTGGATTTGTTCTAATTATCCTAGGGAGTGACATGACCTCGGGCCTGAAAGCTCCGATATGTCATCTGCCCTCACCCTGTCCCTTCACAGAGGCAGACACAGGTCAAAGGATGCACACGGGCTGGACAGAGAGAGAAGCAGAGGCTGGGCTAGACACCAGTGCAGGGGACGATGAACAAGACTGAGTCAGGCCAGTGATTCTGCTCATGACTAACAGCAGAGGTATTCAAAGG